AATAGAGAAATGAAGAAGGATCTGGAGAAGCCTTTAGGCGGTGAACGAAAGAAGAAGAAAAAGAAGCTAAAAACAGAGGATCTCGAGAAGAGAGAGTGGCGACTGACGACTGAGGAAGAAGAGAAGAAGACTCGAGAATGGTGGCAAAATAAAAACGTTATAATGTGAAAGGAAGTTACATGCATGAATAAAGCATAAAAGATAAACTAAGTTCTTTTTTTCCTTATATTATGTAAACTTTAAGACGAGAAATCTTTAAAAAGTTTTCACACAATGCATAATAAATAAAAGCACAAAAGATAAATTTGATGTCCTTTTTTTATATTATATAAATTTTAATACGAAAAACCATCATAGAATTTTTACATAATTAGAATAAAGAAAAGCATAAAAGACAAATATGATGTCTTTTTTTCCTCGTATTATATAAACTTTAAGATGAGAAACCTTCAAAACTTTTATATATATATTATGTAAATTTTGGCACGAGATAACTTCATAGAGTTTTTATATAATGTAGAGTAAAAGTACAAAATACAAATCTTATGTCTTTCTTTTCTTATATTATGTAAATTTTAACACAGAGAGATCTTCGTACAGGCTTCACACAATGCAAAATGCAAACAGTGAGGTTCCTGGAGTCCAAGTTGGATGGAACCTAGCAGCCCCAAATGTGTATCCATGGCCAATGTAAATGCAACCGTAATTGGCTGAGGCACCCCCATAAACAGTTGCGCCGGTGTTGTAGGCCCAAATAATCTTGCCGTTGCTGGTGTCAATTGCATAAATAGGACCATTTGGGGCTACAGACCCTGCAAATAATACTCCATTAGCAACAGTCACAGGGCCATGGGCGGTGTCGTTGTGGGGTTGGCCGTGGACCATAATATTGCCCCTGAATTAGCATCTAAAGCAACCCATGCCCCAGCTGTTGTTGTTTGGGTCATTGGTTTGAGGGTGAACTTTTCGCGGTTGCTATTAACTATGTTCGTGTACACTCTTCGCCCATCTGTGGCGGCACCCCATTGCCCTCCTCCCTCCAATCCACCCGGTCCTGCTTTCTGCAAAATCCACATATTTTGGCCATACCAGAGCTATTGGCGTCATTAAAATAAGAGATATGTTGAGCCAATTACAACAGAAAGAATTAAGGTAGATTTGTTAGATAGTCGATGATCCCTCACCTTGGACCAGAGAATTCTACCATTGTCACGATCTAAACACCACACAAACCCACTCTTCTGTGCAGCAGCCACAGCATCACGACTTGTTCCATTAACAGAGATGGTAAGCAACATAGGAGCCGCACCAAAATCTGCATCCAAGTTAGGTCCCGGAGGGCAATCAGGATTGTTAGGAATCAAACAAACAAAATAGAAAACGTCGTAGCCACCCAGTTGTCTGTTCAATTGAATCCTCCCGGAATCAAGATCAAGAGCTACAATGGAGTTGAAGTTGACATCAGGGCCGATACACTGATCAGGATGAGTTGGTCTAGTTGTTTGATTGTTTTGTTTCTCTTGACATTCCAAAACTTCTTTGGGAGCTATGTAGAGGTTCCCCGTGGCGACATACACATGTCCCCTGAAAATGTCAATAGCAGGGCTGCTGCCCCACACGGCGGCTCCGGCGTATCCTCCCAGTTTGCCTCCATTGTCGGGAAGCATGTAGGTTTGCCAGATGATTGTACCTGTTTGGAGGTTTAGTTTGACTACACTGCCTCTAAATGTGCAGCATTCACCTGCGGGCAATCCCACCTCTAGGGATGACACCCCAACGTAGAAGGCCCTACCAACAAGAAAAATTAACTTAAGTTTTGTATTAGAGATAAAAAATGCAGATAGTTCATGGAAATTTAAAGACAATCATGGGTATTTCTGAATTTTCAAAACTTATATATATATATATATGCTTAATCTCATTAACAGAAAAGAGAAAACAAGAGGTTAATTACCCAGAATGAACAGTTCCAGATGCAGTAATAACAGCTCGAGGTCGACCGTCAATCTGCGTTGACCAAAGAAGCCTTCCGTTCAATCTAGAAACAGCAATCACAAAAGCTGGTCCATATATTCCGATTATCAGCCTATCACTACTGACCGTCGGCGTTGATCTTGACACCGTCACGTTCGCCACTATCCCTGTTCCTCTCAGTCCCGTTATCTCACTCAGATTCTGCCGCCATATAAGATCTCCGTTGAACGCGTTTACTGCGTACAAGAACCCATTCCATGACGGAAAATACACTACTCCGTTCGCCACCGCCGGAGTTGCAGAGATGTCTTTTCCGGCTTCGAATCTCCATCTTAGCCTCAAGAAGTTTCTTACCATGAAAGGGTTCAGCAACAGTTCTCCGCCAGCATGCCTCCTGTTTGTTAAATCGCCTCCGTGATTCACCCACTGGAATATTCCATGCAAACCAAAAGTAAAATTTCATCATGCCCTCTATATATATATATATATGTACGTTCATTTATACATTCAGAAACGTTGATGATCAAAGGAACAGTGAGGTGGGAATTACTTACATCTGCTGCTGAGTAATCTATAGATACAAATAAACAGAATATCGCTGCTAAAGTTGTGATGATCTGCATTTTGATGGAACTGTTTGTGGCAAGATAGCTAACTGAGTTTATTTCTTCACAATTCACGCTTGTCATCAATTTATAAGTAAAATGTAGGCAGCTTGGTCAGACAGGTCTTAATTTTTCGTTTTCTTTTTCGAAAATTTCGGCTTTTTTTTAGTTTGCAAAGTAAATTTTCATTATAAATTTTGTGTAGTATACGAAATACAAATTCTGATTTAATATATATGAACCGAGGATGAAATTACAGACTAAAGAACACGTTACATACTCTTAGAAGTTCAAATTTGTTTTAATTTATTTTAGAATTCGAAAAAAAGAAGAGAGAATTTGATAAAGTTTTATCATAATATTTGTCTTAATTAATAAATTTTCTTTTGGAACTTTGTAAGAATATATATACACATATACATATACATATACATATATATATATATATATATGGGGTGACGCTTAAGACAAGATTGTCCAAGCTAGAAATTGAAGCGTTAAAGTTGACTGATTTTCAGCTACTTTAGATGGGGCAAGAAAACAGATACATATTTGAAATCTGGGTATAGCTGACAAGGAGGCTTTCCTCCATTTCAGGGCAATATTTAGAACTCAAATTTTCTTTAGCATTAATTAATAGTGAGAAAACTTCATTTTATTTGCATTTGTATATATATATACATACATATATATGTACATCTATGTGTGTGTATGTGTATGTGTATGTGTATGTGTGTTCTCGAAATAAATTATTTTAGCATCAATGAGCAGTGATGAACTCTTTACCAGTGTCTTCTATATTATTTGAAGCATTTTATAGATTCTTGCAACAATTCTTTTGTAAAGTCTAAAAATGTCAATGTTGATTAAAATATTTTATATATATATATATATATGATACTGAATTAGGATTGAGATGGCAGGGTATTGAAGGCTAATCATATTAACAAAATATCCTTGTGCTTTGAATTATATATATACATATATATATATATATAAACAATATAGCCGATTTGTAAGTACCCTTTAATTAATTTAATAAATAACTATATATATAATGTATAGTTTGTAAATAAGTTGTATATATGATACTGAACTGATATACTTTGTCAACTCTATATTCTGACGTCGTAGTACACACATAGCATCACCAAAGATAATAAAAGGAAAAAAAAGAAGTGGTCATGGTGTTAAGATCAGCTCATGATGATGATGATGATGATGATATAATATATATATATATATATATATATCCACCATCATGGGTGTTAAGATCAGCTTCAATGGTGGATCGAGGTCAAGTAAGGTAGCTACCAGAGTTCCCCCAAACACTTCAGTATTAGGACTAAATTCAGCCCTCATGCAATGAAGTGGTCAGGGAAACTCCGGGGGACACCTTACACTTTCTTCTTTTTCACCATCATCACCTGCTACCTCCTCCAGTATATATCCCTTAATTACTAATTCTTAGGCAATACATGCACAATTACTGTGTGTGTGTGTGTATATATATATATATATGTCTGTGTATGTGAGAAAGATTTGGTTCTGTACGAGGGACCATTTTAAGAGACGATGAGCTTCTATAGAAACTGAACGTAGTCAGAATTGTGGGAAATATGAAAGGTAGAGAATAATTTTCAAATGTATATGTATACACACACACACTTCCATATATACATACACACAGACACAAGTGGTCGCCACTCCTTATCTTCTTTTTTCTCTTTGTCAAATACCTAAAGTCTTTTGTATTACTACATCATAAACTTAATATGTCATTTCTGATGATCAGTATGTATCTCTCTCTCTATATATATATATACACACATGCTCATAAATATATATATAAAGAGAGAATCAAGTTACGTATGAGAATCATTTGGATGCATGTAAAAAGTTGAAAAGATTTAATTCTCTAAACGCCCATTTAACAAATCTGGCCAGCAGCTACGTCTAGATTCATTATTGCTCTAAACATCCTTTACACCTTCTTCTATCTTCTACTATAAAAAGAGAAAACCTTGCCCATTCCCTGCCATGGAAGCCAGACCTACAAGTAATAAACTTAAAGAAGCCATAGAGATCAAGTCTCCCCTGGAGTTCCCTTAAACACTTCACTGAATTTCATTATTCCACTGAAGTGTTTGGGGGAACTCTTGGTGTCATTTGATATAACATCACTCCATCATCTTCATCTTCCATAGTTCTTAGTTTCTCTGGTTATATACTCCTCTATGCACTCTCATTTTCTACCATAAACAATTCAGTGAGCAGAAAAGAATATGAATCGGGTTTCTTCTGGAGTTCCCTTAAACACTTCACTGGATGTTATCATTCCACTGAAGTGTTTGGGGGAACTCTTGAAGTCATTCGATACTGAAGTACCATATTTTGCTCCAAGCATTTTCTATCCTTTAATGGCAATTTGTGGCCGGTAGGTTTGTAAACAAGAATGGTAAGTCAATGGGGGGGGGGGGGGAAATGGGTTGACATGTGAAGTCAAGAGTGAGAATGGTGAAGATGACTTGATGGGCTTAATGGGCTTGATGGGCTTTGAGAAATCCAATGTAATGGGCCTCAAAGGCAAGGAGAGTGGATATGCTTGCAATAATTCTGATATGTACATATTTTTTACTGTGACAAAATTAATCAACCTCACAAACCATCAATGTTAATTGGATATAGCTTCTAGTTATTTCATCTTTATAAGAGGTTGTCGTAGAAATTTCAAAATAAATTAGAACTGAATCTAAAACATGTTCGTATTGAATAATTAAGATTAGATATGTAAACGGAAGTACAACTGAATTCATAACGAAAAAAATCTGGACGTCATACGGTGGATCTTGCAAATCAATACGTTGGTCCTTTAAAATTTTCACACACACTCTTTTCTGGTGATAGAATGACAAAATAGAAAAAACTCTAACGTATTATTTGAGGAACATAACTATTTATTTATATCTGTAACTTTTCGTTATTTTTAATTTTATCCATCACAAAATAAAAAATTATATTTTTAGTTCTCAAAATACTTTTAATCGAATCAGATAACTTAAACGGACCCAATTAAACCTACACGGTTGATCAAAAACTCAAACAATCACAATCGAGTGTTATTTGATAAAGAATTTACGGGGTCACATAAATAAAATAACCCTACTTACTAAAAACTTGATAAAGAACTAAGTTGTTATCTTCACCGATATTAAGATATAACTACGAATGGTCCAAATAAATCATATGATGACTAATCAAAATCAAATGTATGAAAGTTTTCAGTCTCATAATCATGCAGTCGACTTCGAATTTTTTCAAACAATAAAATAAATTTCAAGTCCTGGTTACATGGAAATGGATCATCCAAGAACCTAAATAAGCAATATGATAATATCTAGAGTATTATCCGAGTGTTTATAATCATAATTTATTCAGAATTGTTTTAGCTTTTGCTCCATTTGATATAACATGTTATGAATAGTGTATGTATATCATGTAAGTAATGAATGAATAAATTTATTCAAAAAAAAAGGTGAATAATTCACAAAAAGACCCTTTTGCTTTTGATTCCAGTGAATACTTACATTACATTCATGGCTTTTTATGCAACTCGTTACCCAAACACAATTCTTTTGTATATCCTAAGTCCATGGGTACAGTATGCTAATACATCAATTGTCTTGATTTGGCGTATATATATGCATATATGTGTGTACATATATATATATATATATATATACATGTAAAGAGAGAGAGAGAGGGAGAGAGAGAGAGAGAGAGAGAGAGAGAGAGAGAGAGA